TATGGTAATTTATGCGATGGCTTAGTATGATAGAGGATGGAGTGATGTGGTTACCCAATCTTAACCCTATTACTCTATCTTACCTGTATTTCCATATCTTACCCTGTTACCTCTCTTAACTATATTACCATATCTAGTGAATGCAGGCAGTCAAGATGACTGTCACCACCAAAGTTCAGAGATGTACAGTAAATATATTGGCCAATGTGTTTATTAAACATTCCGTGCCTTGTCAATACGTTATATCTTTTATAGGTCTATTAGCTGTTCCAAAATTTTATCAGTTGAGGGAAAAATTTATGAGTAAATGTATTGAGTTGTCATTTCTAATAATGAGCATAATGGATAAAGTAAGAAATTTTTATAGCATTAAACAATTAGTGGAATTTTAAAACTGACTCATGTTACTTTAAAAAATTAGTAGTCATTTTAACATTGGTCTTGGATAAGCCTTTTGCATCCTCTTAGTTAGTGTTCCTTCCTTTTTAATAACTGTATATTTAGCTGCTTCTTCTGTTTGATTAATGTGGAAGCTGTGCTAATTGATTTTATGTCATTCTCCTTTTCCAATGTAAAGAATTTATAGTGTAAAAGTTTGCCAGTAACACTACTTTTTCTTCCTCCTGTAAGTTTTAATATGTTATGTTTGATTTTTGTTGAACTTCAAATATTTTCTAGTTATTGTTTGTGATTGGTAAATATTTAGGGATTCCTAATTTTCATTACTAGTTTCATTTACATAACACATGTTTGTGATATCAACCCTTTTACCTGTATTAAGATTTGACTTATGGTCTAATTTTACGTCCAGTGAGTGCTCAAACAGAGGTTGGACAATTTACAAGCAATCTGATAAAAGATCCTGCTGTTGTTCACATAATTTCAATATTTTATCTCACATTAACTATTCCTAACCGTTTAGATGAATCATTAATTTCTCTTAACCTGAAACACTTGCTATGGAAACTTTATATTATTTTGTCATTGATATTGGGGACAGTATTTGCCAGCCTACCCAGGCCTTCTCAAGGTTCCACCTCCAGGCACTTGCATGATGTGTATTGTGGTTTACTGAACTCTGTAAGGCATTTCATTCACAGACTGCTCTGTCCAGTGGAACTTTTCACAAGGAATGGGCTAGGTAGCAAAGGAGGGTAATGTGGGAAGGTATTTGGCCATTTTTTTTTTATTTTTGTTGTTGCTGTTGCTGTTGTTGTTTATTTTTTAAATGATGTTTGTTTTGGGGGAAAAGTAGATTCTTCATTTAGAGAGTTTTGAATCCTAATTTCTACAGTAAGCAATATGATATACTTGCAGACTACTGAGAAGAAGCCCTCATTGGAGAAATGAGGTTTTAGATAATTGGGGCACTATTCTCAAGGCAGATTTGAAGGCTGTCTTTTAGAAAAATCACTTTATGAAAAATGTTCTCATTTGTACTGTTTTCCTTTAATTGTCAGTGAACAGTTTAAGTACAAGAGCGAGCGTGGGCTGGGAGCTCAGTGGCCCAATCCCTGCTAACATCCAGAGGCCCCAGGCTCAATCCCCAACACCTCCAGCTGCTGCAAAGCACCTCTTCATTGTTTGCAATGTGATTGGAGGTGCACATTCTTGTCTCTTCCTCACTGCCTCATGGACCATTCTAGTGCACTTCAACAGGTCATATTATATAATTTTGGAACGAGTACATGTGGGACTTTTTTTTTTTTCCATTTTGAGTACATACTGGTTTGTATTGGAGATACAGCATTTAATTATCAACTTGTGAAGTCATCTCCAGCAGCAAGCAGTGTCTCGAGTTTCTGAGATTGCCTTCTGAGAAATTAATTCATGGAAGCCTACCTTCCCTTCAATTTAAATATCTCAACAAAAATGATTAGTAATAATGCAGTGCTGTTTGGGAACTTTGAACATGTAGAATCAGAATTTAGGGTTCATGGAATAAAGTTCTGAATTTTTCACTTGGCATCTCCGTTGAATGTAGACAAAAATATCTGGACAAACTTCAGGTGATTGTTTAAAATATTAAATGATAATATGAAGTAATTAAAACAGTGTTGGCCACACAATGAGAATTTTACTATGTATACAATATGTGTATGTCATACAGGCAAAAACAAAGATAGTATGTAGTTTATAAATATATAAGATGGGCATATGTGTATACAGATATGTCTTCTTCCTGTGTGTCTCTGCCTCAGTCTGCTTCCTAGCTGGAATATGCATAAATTCTGAGTAGTCTTTTAATCTCTTCAGTTCCTTCTGAATCTATATCAACTTGAGCCATGCCCAAAACAGTAAATATATGATAAATATCTACAAATTCTCTTCTTTTTAATTTTGCTCTCCCAGAACTGGAAAATTTGAAGGATATTTATCAACTATTACTGATTTTATAAATTGGCAGTTCATTGTTTTACATCAATATGTATTTTGTCACCTTTTATGTGTGATTACTTATAATGTTTAATCAAAAACATAAGTCAACTTTTACTATTAACAAGTGTATATCTAGTTTTTAGACTCAGTCTTCCCATCTAGTTCTACAGCCCTCTGATGAATTGCAATGATTTCTAGGGTATTGAATTTATGCTAATTTTGAACCATGTGGAATTGTAAGGTAATGAAAATATGATCAGATACTGAAAGGCATTAATTGCATTAAAACATCATCAACCATTTCCTAAGGAATCAGATACTCAAAGTGTTTACAACAGATGTTTTTGAGCATCTGTTTTAGTATATTAAATAGAAAATGAATTTATCCCTATTATCTCATAACATAGAGGTATGTTGAAAAGGGCCCTTTTTCTTTTCCTCTGTCTATTCTTTTCCCTTTCCTTTGATTCCTCCATTCCATTCCTTTGGGTTTCTTGTCTGTTTGTCCTTTTCATTGTGATTCTAAGTGGCTTTAGCAAGCTGGTCTTTGCCCTGTGGGCTCTAAACAAAGTGAGTGGTTCTCAAGAGTAGAGCACAGTGATGCTAAGAGCTCCACTGTAAGCTGAAGACTCTTTGTGCTTATGGAGAAAAACAAAGAACAAAACAAACCCAACAACAAAATCCAGGGAACCAGGGTTTGTAAAAACAGCTATGCAAACAAATTCAAGGGCATATATAATGGTTGACTTTCCTTTATTATCTCAGTTTATGTGAGGACAATGCAGACAGTTTCCAATAAACAATGCCTTATTTTTGATTTATGAAAATGTTAACATTTTGTTTGCCCAGTCAGCATTTTTGAGGCTGGCTTAGCTGCTTGTTCCACTAGAGAGAAATAATAAAACCTAGGAAATCAGAGCCCTGATTATTATGTAATCTTCACCATAAGTGGTATTCAGGACAGATATTTCCATGGTGGTATGGGACTATAAGGAACACTTGAGTATTTGAAGGAAAGTGAAATGTGAAGAACTAGCCATCTCTGAATTCAAAATGTATTTCCAAGGTGATGCAAAATATATGAAGGGAGATGATAGTGTAGGCAAGCCTGTGCTGTAACCCATGATTGTCCAGTTATATAAAAACCTTTTCAAAATGGCAAATATCATTGTTTAAGAGCAAGGGGGAAGTATTCTATCAAGTCATTAGTTATTGAAAGAATGCTTGCTTTGTTGAAGGAAGATTATCCAAGTTAGTTCAAGCAATTGATTATAAAAGAGTTGCTTGTTTGAGTAGTCAAGCATGTGATTCAAATGTGGAGTTGCCTTGCTTTTGAATACAGTTTTGCTAAGTATTCAAATACTATTGAACACTTACTAAAATACAGCAAATCCTGCTACTTTCACAATTTTAAATGACTAACAAGTCAAATATTTTCATTACAGGATAGTTTCTACTAATTTATATTCTATTTAATTTTAGTCAATTGTGACTTTTATTAAGGAAAACCTTGTTTAATTCCATAGTATTGATTTTTCTGCTCCATGTCCAATTATTTATCCATTTGAGGGTAAGATGGTAGAATAAATAATGGTTTCTGTTATTATTTTTGGGTGTGTATACTTACTTATCCCTTTAGGAGAAACAAAAACAGTCCTATTGCAATTGTATAAAAGTAATAAATTTCATGATAATTTCTAGATTTGTTAATTGTGTAAATTCTTAAATATACTCACTAGAAAATTTAAAACTTGATTACACAGAACTACAAGGATACATTAAGTTGACAAAGAAAGTATTTTGAGGAACAACATAATTTTAATATTTTTAGCAACAAGTTTGACATACAGATTCTTATTTTAGTGATTCAAAATGGAACTGTGATGATTTTAAGAAAATTAACACAACATCCTGCAAATTATTTAGTTAAAGTATTTAAATAAAATCATTTATGTGTGTGGGAACAGATAACTATACAAGAAGTGGGTCTATCTGTATATGTGTATTGATATCGTTACATGACCAAATGCACTAAGTATGTCTCCATTATCTTTCCTTAGTGATTTTCAGATGGTAGAAATTATTGAACTTGTCCCAGGATTTAGAAGGAAATGCTTGTTTTAAGAAGCTGTAGTTTCTTAGATTTATCAAAACTTATTTGAAGTCTTGTGTGTTCTTTTAAGCAGAAAAGTATTTACATTATATACTTAAATATTTCTCTTACATTTCTAGTGAACAGTCTTACTTAAAAATATATCATATCTTTCATGTTTTCTTACTTCTCATTCTGCTGGGAGACTCTTAAGTGTTGTGGGGAAATATACTTTTTTTTAAAAAAAATATTTATTTATATATCATGTATACAGCATTCTGCCTATATGTATGCCTGCACACCAGAAGACAGCATCAGATCTTATTACAGGTGGTTGTGAGCCACCATGTGGTTGCTGGGAATTGAACTCAGGACCTCTGGAACAACAGCCAGTGCTCTTAACCTCTGAGCCATCTCTCCAGCCCGGAAATATACTTCTTAAGTAACAAAATTTTATTAGTTCTGTGATTAATATGCTAAAAGAAAGTATTTTGTTGTCTAATTGCATCTTTTATTTTATTTTTTACAGAAATGTTTAATTCAGTAAGTCAGAAGACAAAACCATGGATTTTTAGCAGTCAAAGAACAAATTAAGGTAATTCATAGATTATTATTGTTGAATATTTGCTAAGAATCTAAAAATATATTTACAATATGTGAAGTCAAGTTAGTATATGTTTTAGGAGAATTAGTCACATTGAAAATGCAGCATGCTTAAATGTTTTTATATATTTTGAAATGATATTTTAATATATTACATGTTTTTGGAAAATAGATTCTCTTTTCTGAACAGTAAATAATGTAGTTTAGCATATTTGCTGTTGTGAAGAAATACACCAACTATATGAAAAATGATTTGGCTAAAGCAAGTAGTTTTTGTGGCTGCTGCTATGGAAAGACATGATGGCTATATTACTTTATTAACAATATGTGAACAACTATGCCAAGATTTTTGCTCCCATTGGTACATGGGCATTAAGACAATGCATTGAAGTAATTCTTGTATAATTCATTTCATTTGCTCTCAATTTTTTATCCATAACTGAATAGGAAATTAATAAATGAAGTGTACTCATTTTTATATCCTCAAGATGTTTAATATATAAAGCAGATTATTTTCAAAACTGACCTATTTACTACAAATATATTTATTAGGTTCAACATGAAAATTTTCAGAGTATAAAATTAGGCTGGTACATATTTTCTCAAGCAAATCATAAGATATAAACCAGTTTCTTTTATGCATAATCGGTGGTAACACTTGGGATTTCTTTTTCCTTTTCTTTTTTTTTTTTCTTTTTGGTTGTTGTTTTGAGGATGATTTCTGAGGAGGTAGCCCAACTCAAAATCCTTCTGCCTCATTCTCCTGAGTTCTGGGATTATAGCCATGTATGGCAATGCCAGGATCCTATTGTCTATTTGGAGCTATTCAAATTAAGTTTTGTGAAGTAACTTTAAAATGTTATAAACATGCAGGAAAAATCAATTCTTTCTATTTTATCAGTATTCTTCATTTTGACTAATTAATATTTATTTTGATTCATTGAAACAGTAGTTATTTATTATAAACTACCATCAATGTACTTTCCAAGACTTTATAGTTAAACTTAAGCACACTCAGTGACTTAAGATTATGGAAACATTACAAATGCTTTTGTAGGCAGTAATTTTTAAATGGGTGTTCAGTGATTTAAATTTTTTTTCTTCTCTGTCACTTATTTTCCTCTCCATATCATTGGATGTGTGAACAACATTGGCCCTCTTTTTGAGAGTAAGGTATGGTTGAGTCGCTCAGGATTGATTAGCTTATTATATTGATATCTTTGTGCTGTAGACATTCATCTACTAATCTAAAATTGAAATTAGTTCAGTGATACAGGGAAGTAAATTAATTTAACAAAAAAAGGTTTACTCAATAATTCCTTTAAATATTTAAAAATATTGAATGGAGTATTACCTAGACACTCTCATCAGAAGCCAGTACATGACTGGGGGTGGTGGTGGTGTAGCTCTAAATCCTAGAATTCAAAGTAGAGTCAGGCAGATCTTGGAGATATTTCTGGGCCAGCCAGTTACTCTATGAGACATTTTCTCAAGTGTGAGATGAAGATATGAAGAGAGCTGTGTCAATCAGAAACAGACAACAAAAGAACAAATTATGTGCTGTGGGTGAAACCAGTCTCCCTGTGGACAAACGTGCCTGCATGGTTCCAACCTGATCTGTCAATCCCTATTTGCATCATCGTGTTTTTAAATACATATGTGTGTAGTGTTTCCTAAACTTACCTTTTAAAAATATGCAGTCTGCTTTGACAAGCACTGAAAGCTATATAAATGCCATCCAAATCAAGAGAGAGAACATATTCAGCACACCAGATTCTCCTAGCTTCTCCTTTTGTTAACCACCCCTTTGCCCACTCTCAGTACCCAGAGCCTCTAGATTCTGTTAATGTAAGACACACAATGCACACTTAAGAACCACGGGGAAGGGCTTCTGCATGGGAAAGAATCTTGATACATGACCTTTCATGTGTTATTACCGTGCCTAAGCTTCTGTTTCCTCTTGGGCAGGAAGAAGTTAATAAAATTTCTTACTACATAGCATTTAGAATAGAGTTCAGCATGTCAGAAATACTGTCTTGATGCTTGAGACTCAACAGGAAAGATGCACTGGAGAAGGCATCCTTTCCATAGTAAATGCCTTCTTTGGATGTGTTTAACCACACAACACCAAACCAAAGTTTCAAAATAATGAAGGGTGTTTAGTAATACTGTTCTCACAAAAGTTTAGTTGTTGCCTCCACTCTTTCGGGTTCCTAGGTATAAACACTTGTAGTAATGCTGAGACAATTTCCCACATGTGGTGTATCCATCAGCAGGTTCTGCTAGACTTCTTATCACCCCCTTGGCTACTGCCTTGAGTCCAATCTCAGCCCTCTGCTGCGTAGAAGAGATACCATGTGAGATGTTTTTCTTTGACCCATCTTTACCACCTTCGCATAAATCACAACTCAGTCTCAACTCCCTGGTCACTCCAGCTGGCTTGGCTTTACCATGTGCTTGAAAACCCCTCCACCAAGAGCTTTAACCCTTGTTTTCCTTTTACACTCTTCTCAGATACTCATATCGCCATACCTAGAACTCCCCTTCTCATGCTAGATTTTTCTGTACAAAAGTTTAAAATTGAAAGAAGCCAAGAGTCCTCTGTGGCCCTGACTCGTTTGTTGTATACTAGTTTATTTTTTCCTTGCTTCTTTAAATTAGTTTCTGTAGAGCCTGGCGAGATGCCTCCTTTAGCATAGTGCCTTCTTTGCCAAGTGAGTGTAAGAAACTTGGGTGGTGCATACTTTGTGACCCAGTACTGTGGAAGCAAAGATGGGCAGATTCAGAGAAGCTCTGTAGGTAGCAAACCCAGCCAAAGAGATGAACTTCATGTTCCTGTCTCAAAAACATAAATATGGAAAGAAGTTAAAGTGGACACATAATCTCTAGTCCTGATCTTCACAATAATGTACACACAAGCATGCATGTGTGCACACATACACTAATAAGTATATGTACACCATGGTCACACCAAACACAAACATGCACACACACATACATATACACAATAAGTTCATATATTTAAGACTTATTTCCTATTTATATATGCCCATTTCTGCTTTTGTGTATCTTTTATAATGTATCATTGGCCTTGCACATGGAATCATATAATAGACAGTTGGAAATATCATAGATGACAGTGTGAATCTAAGAAATAGATTATCTGGAATATTCTTGTAATAACTCAATTACTGTCAAATGAAAATGCAGTTTAAGGCAACTGCTAGGATTGAGTGGTAGTCACACCTTTGAGAATATTTCCAAAGAGAAGGTGACAGATCTTCATGACTATATTTGAATGATGAGAGGAAAGCTGAAGTCAGGAATAGGTATTGGGTTGGAAACAGATAATACTGTTATTGGTACCATGTAGTGACCTGTTTAGAAAGCAAAGTTTCTTTAAATATAAATCTATATATGTATGTGTGAGGTATAAATTATTCATATTTATTAGATATAGATACATAATTTATTTTATATACTCATAATTTATTATATGTAATTTATATTTTATAACTATATAACATATACTGACCTATTTTATGCATTATGTATATCAATATAAAGAAGAAGTGAATACAGTTTTATGGCAATAGCATTCAAACTAATGCTAATTTTCATTTTTAAGCGGAAATTATTCCTGAAAATACATAATGCTTTAGACTTAAGTTCACTAGTGTCTCTCACTTCTACTCATTTGTTTATGGAAAATTAATACAGATTTGATTTGCTAGGGAATTACATTTCTAATTAATTTCAAGGCCACACAGAAAGTACAGGATTCTGAAGCTGGCCAGGGGGCAGAGTGAAAGCTCATTGATTATTCATACCATCATTCCTACTTATTCCATGCTTAGTGGCTGTCACAGGCTGTCAGCCACATAGTTAGTGCCCTTCAGAATTCACGTGCACAATCGGCAGCCTTTGGAAATCTGCATAAAGATAAGTCTGACATTGGATAGATGGCTGCCCATTAGTAGAAGACAGCTCAGATTGTCAGCCATTTATGCCACAGAGCTGACCACCACGAAACAGTGATCAGGAAATGCAGTATTGGCAGAAAACAAAATCACTTACTAACCCAAACCAAAAAAAAAATCGGTTTTCATAGTTTTTTGTTTTTTTGTTTTTTTTTTTAAACAAAATGTAATGAAATCATCATCAGTTACCAAGTATCCTGGCATTAGTTTCTTTGGTTGTCATAATTTTATTTGGATAATCTTTAATGTTGAAAAATGGTTATAAAATACCTAACCTTTGCCTTACTTGGTTATATATGTATATATGTGTATGTATGTATTGAATGTATTGATTAATTCATTGAAGTACTAGTGATGGAACCTAGAGATATGTGGATACTAGCCAAGCACTCCACCACTGATTTATAACCCTGGCCCTCTTTGTATTAATTATTAATTTGTATTTTAAGAGAATACTCCCAAGGCTTCCCTAGCTGGTCTGAGTGTATTCTGTAGCCCACACATGCCTTAAATTCAGGATCTTTCTACCTCAGCCTTGTGTTTTCTGTTATGAGAAGTATCTGTTACAGTCCTGACCCACCTGTCCTGGATTGAGTTTGTGTGTTTGAGGGAAAGACAGAATCTCACTATGGGGAACATTTCCTGATGATTGTTTTTGAGTACATACATTTGAACTTCTTGTCCATTGCATGGTTTGAAATGACACACTTTAAATGTTTGAGGAATTTTAACAAACATGTGTTTTTAGAACCATAACTAATGTTTATCTATTTCCATCTTAAACTTTCTGTTAAGTGTGTTTTCTCTTGGTAAAATGACCTGAAATACAAGGCTTGTGGAGAAGCCATGATTGCCAAAACAGGACACCAGCCAATTTTATCACCTAAAACTTGCCTCCTGTTTCTCCCAATTGATTACCACCTGTGTATTCCCCTCATCCCTAGAAATCACAGGTTATTCTCTATTCCTGTCTATAAATTTTCAGAATAATGTACAAACAAGCCATTCAGTA